TTGCAGTTTTGGGGTAGTGTGCCCTGTCAACATATACCCGCAAATTTAAATTCAGCCGTCCCGCTTGTCCAGATATCACTTGCGGCCCCGTGGAAGTTTCGGCGAGGAAGATTATTATCGGGAACCACGGGAGTTGGGAATCTAAAATTTTACGGCGATGTGCCCTATCAACGTACGATACTCGTAAATTTGGATTCAGCTTTCGCGCACCCCTTGGATTCAACCTTCGCGCCCCATGAAAGTTTTGGTAGGGAAATTTTCTCGTGAACTGCAGAAGTTAGGAAGCTTAAATTTTAGCATGACAACCCTCGCCCACGTGCAACTCCGCAAATTTTTAACGCCACTGTCGAAGTTTTGACGAGAAAAATCATTGCTGAAAATTTCGAAAAAATGTTTCCTGCTTAAACAGGGGCTTCACAAACTCGAATTCAGTTCTTAAGTATGCCGAGTTCTTGCCTACGCCCATGTGAAATTTTCGTCTCAAAGATATTCGAAAACTAGAATGTTAGGAGATTGAAATTTTGGAAAGATATTCACCCTTCGAGGTTTCAAATTCAGCTTTCATGTGCTGATGCATGAAATTTTTATCTGTTTCTCAACGTTTTCTCCTAACACGGACTAAAGTACAAAGCAGTGGAAATCACTAACAGACGGAATTGCACAAAACGCACCGGCTAGTCTAGTACACACCGGCTAGTCTAGTACGCTTGCTGTTCATTTGCATGCCATTGCTTTTTATGCGTTTTTGCATATATGCAAACTGCAAAAGCGCATATTGGGAAGAGGCTGCCTGTGTGTGTGTGTGTCTGCATGTTCGCAGTTTTTATCACCCACTTTCAACTCGAGAATTAGGAAGTTGGAAGGCTGAAATTTTGGAAGTATGTGCCCATAACATGCACGACTCTCACGTTTTGATTTCATCTTCCGCGGACGCCTGGGTGCCGCGTACGGGTGCTATAAAAAAATATGCAAATATTTTGGCGGAAAAGCGATCTCGGGAACCGCACAAGCAAAGGGGCTGAAACTCTATAGGGATATTTTTTGTGCATGTCTAGCTAGAGATTTCAAATTCAGCCCCCAGGAATGCGTGATGCTCAGTTAAGGGCGTATGAAAATTTTGGCGGGAAAATTACTCACTCGGGATTTAGAAAAGCTAGAAAGTTGAAGTTTTAGGAAAATGTCCTCTATCCAAGCACAACTCAAGCATTTCAAATTCAGCCTCAGGTATGCACGGTACTCACGTAAAGATGTATGAAAGTTTCTGCGGAAAAATTACTGACTCGGCAACCAGAAAAGCTGGAAGGCTGAAATTTTAGAGGATGTTCCCTGTCTACGTGCAATTTAAAAATTTCAAATTCAGCTTTCGAGGCACGTGGAGTACCCACGTACGGGCATGTGAAAGTTTTGGCGGGAAAATTGCTAACTCGACAACCAGAAAAGCTGGAAGGCTGAAATTTTGGGGGAATGTGCCTTGCCCAAGTGCAACTCATACATTTCAAATTCAGCCCCAAGCTATGCGTGGTACTCACGTAAGTTTCTGCTGGAAAATTACTAACTCGGGAACCAAAAAAACTAGAAAACTGAAATTTTAGGACAATGTTCCCTGTCCAAGTACTACTTAAGTATTTCAAATTCAGCCTTGAGGTATGCTTATTTCTTGTGTACGGGCACTTGAAAGTTTTGGTGTGTAAATTTCTCACTGAACAGCTAGGTTACATTTAAAGAACTGCTGTTAAATGGAAATTGTACATTTACTTTATGCGAAATCTATGGTGATTTATGCTAGTAACTGCAAAAGGTGGATGTAAAGCAACAACCAGTTAATGACCTGAGTACTTCAAGTTCGTTGCTAAAACGCATGATCACACGGGCCCACCCAGTGCGTTCCAGCCTGGTTTTTTGCTCAGAAGAGAAAATTGTTAACTGACTGAAGCGTACTTTGAAACCGTGACAATTTTGAACGCCGCAGCATTTTGAAAACTCAAGAAATTGAAAAGCATCTAACACCTCATGGGATATTCCGAAGTCATGGTTTTTAGCTGCTTCTAGGTTGCGCTAAGGTGTGAACAGCTTTGGTCCAATGCAGTGTAAAACTGCCTTCGTATTTTTTTCTTTTCGCAAACGATCCTGGCCTTTGCTTCCACCAGACGGTGGTTGGAACTGATGAATGAGCGAATTCAAGATAACGCCGATCAATCTCTGCTTGTCGACGAGGATACAATTGATTTTATGCTTATTAACATCATCTCGGATTTCTGTTTCGGGCCTCTCTCCCATCACTGTGCGTGTGTTTGTATGTGCGCTTAAATATAAGAATACTGCTGATTGTTTTCAAAGCGATGTCTCATAACTGTTGAATAATGATGTGCAAAAACAGGTCTGTTTTGTGTACATAAAAGAAATGCTGACCTCCGGAGTTATTTTAGCCCAGGAGCGCGCATGCAACTGCAGCGTTTATTGGACATTGGCAGGATGTATCCTAATCAATTGCCATTTTTGTTGGACTTTAAATTTTCACTTGTTAATTGCTTCTTCAGAAATTAACGAACATACCTTGTCGCTTGTAGACTTGTGCATTGCAAGCTCTCAGCTCCTCGTCATTCTGTCACTAAAAAACATATGGCATGTATGTAAGTGCCAGAGTGAATACAATACATTTATCCGAAAAGCAAAAATAAAAACAAAGATATAAACGCCATCAGCAGGCTGGCTGTTACGTGTGATTCGCTTCTGTGCCAGAAGCCATGCAAAATAGCTAGCCGCACTGATGGCAGGCACGTGCCTAACGATGAAATAACAGTTGATCAAAGTACCAAATAGGCAACAATAACCGCTGACCTCTGTGGTCAGCAGTAAAATGAAGGTAATGGCGATAAGCACGGG